CACAAGGCTTGGGCCATTTCACTTCAGAGACACAAGTAGCTACAGAAATGAGCACAATTGAAGAAGCCAAGGGCCAGCACAGCAGAGGCTTTGAGAGCTATTTGGGCAGAACAAGGAGGGCAGATGCTTGACCAAGGAGAATCGCCGGCTGAAAGGAAGAAGAGAGGCTCTAAGAAGTCAGGAAGGGAAGCACTGGCAGAGGATGGCCCTGGCATAAAGTTGCAAGCAACACAGGAACAAAGCTAAAATGCCCACTTCTAAAGAGCTTTTGTAGACCATTCAATTTTTTTTTTTTTAACTCAATCCAGGAAGATCTGTCTTGTTACCAGCTTCACCTCAACTGTCTTGAAAGGAGCTATTTAAGGCAACAGTCGCTCTGCCAAATACAGCTGGTGGCTTGGTGAAATTTGCAGGAATGGAAACTGTTGCTTTAAACTGTTTCATCTGCAAAGACTTCTCAACAGAGACTTTGTGTACAGTACTTAAATCTTAGGTGCATTGTTAATAATAAGAGAATGTAAAATAAAAGCAAACAGTCTTTAAAGACATCCTGGCATGCATGGTTACAGCACACTCGCTTTCTGAAATTGCCCTTTGAGGCTCAGCCACTTCCGAGGAAGCCTCCTGCTGTTTCAGCACTGTCAGATTTCTGTACACAGCACAGTCACAGTGCTCATGCTGCAAAAGCAACAGGGAAGGAACCAGCTCAGTAAAATCAGTTTCTGCAGAACTATAATAGCTCTTCTCCACAGACCTAAAATGTTTGAACGTCCTTATACTTCTCAGTATTGTGGGGAAAAAACTCATGAAGTACCAAACCAGGGCTTTGTCAACACAATATTTGCTTGGTGAGTGGAAACCAGTGCTACTAGAATGTTTCTAGCCTTGCAATAGCTTGGATAGGATCTCTTTGGTGCATAGAAACGTTAAGGCAGAAAACACGTATCGCTTATTTTTAGTCCTGAGAGGAATACAACTTTCTTTCCCCATTCTTGGATAACAGTTCCTTTGTTTTCCTGTAGTGAAGCTATTACACCAGCGTCATGATGGTGAAGGAGTTTGTTTTTAATTCTTTGTTTTCTCTTTGCCTCCGTAAAATTCATTGTTTTTTCCTTAGCATCTGGGGAAATCTGAAGATAGACTATGTTTAAGGAAGCACCATTGTTCTCTTACCCTACTCTTACCCCTTTATATATTTTTATCACCATTCCCATTTTTGGCTAATGAGTTTACTTCTAAATGGAGAGAGGGGAGAGGGCTGGAGAGTTGCAATACAAATTCGGCTTTTAATTCTAGAACAAGAAAAGATTTGCTGATGGAGTATTTGATTTCTCAAGTGTAAATTGTGCTCTTAGTCAGTAAAATAACAGCTTTAGCTTTTGGCTTGTCAGTGCTGATTTCTCATTGTTACTCAGTTCCCACATACCTTTTTGCAGGAATGAAGTCCAGAAAACATGGTGGGGGAAGGTTTCTGTTGCTTTAATTCAGTTTTTTATAGCCCTTGAACTGGCTGTTTCCAGCCTGGTCTGGTTCTTCTCAAGCATATTAATTTGGCTGTACCAAAGTTTTAACTCCAAAGAGAACTGAAAAATAAACCTCACTTACTTGCTCAGACAGAAAATTCAGACATCCTGAGGTTTTGCTCACTGCACATGGTGTCTGCGCTGGGCTTCAATCCCAGGCATTGCGCTGAGGCAGCTGAATGGAGGGCTGGGAGTCCTGAACTGCTGTAGAATCAGCATGGAGGTCATGGAGACAGAGACTCCTGCACTGTGTGTCTTACTGCCTCAAATCCATTCTGCAGAACACTGAAAATATTAGAAACAAAGAGTTATGCGGTGAGCACAATTACTGGGAGATTGCCTACCAAATATAAATGGTAAGTTAGCTTTCCAAATAAAAACTTTGTTCAGTATAGCCTGCCACTCAAAGAATTGGCTTGACCTCCCTACCTATGTCTTCAGCTGAGATAATTCTCCTGATATTCTTTTTTTTCCAGATGTCTATTCCCCAGTGTCATTTTCCCTAAAACAATTTGATATTTTAATCAGTTGAAATGGCTGGAATAGTAGCATTGTTAAGCTCATAATTGTTTTCCAATCACATTTTTTCTTAAAAATATTACTTTTTGTTATTTCCTTTTTCCCTTTTTCCTTGTATTTTAATTAATAATCATTGGGCAGCAGTTTATGATGCTCAGCTTCTGTTATGTTGGAAATGCACGACTTATCTTAGCAAAACAAGTCTATTAAGTTTATTAAGGATGATTTTTAGGTATATCATTACTCTTATACGTTGATCTGATAGTTAAAAGATGGCTAAAATTAAAACTTTCCCTATCAATGTATACAATTATACTTCCATGCCATATTGGACAGTTGAAAAAAAAAACACTACATCTGTACATATATATACACAAACATTACATGTAGAACATCACGTATCCATAAGCTGCAAATCTACTACTATATGAAACTATAGGGAATACCAAGGATACTGTTTTGATTTGGGTTCAGTAATCACCACCATAGAGCACCTGATGGTTAGGTCTTGGGTAAAACTATTTTTAGTCAATGACCCTTAAAATGTATAAAATTCAGGGTAATAAAAGGAGAAATAGACTTGCTGGCCAGTGTTCTATACATCATGGGATTTTTCAAGGGATTCGATGAGGTTTAAATGCATACCAGGCTCTGTAATGCAACAGACTGAACTGTTCAATTTACTCCAAGGAACAGTTACAATCTTCTCACTCTTACAGTCTTCTCTTTGCATTTTAGGCCTAGCTCCAAGAGCAAGGTGAAACAGTGGAGTCTCCCCAGAGGGGAGGTGGCAGACAGGATGAAAAACTGATCTTACCAATGGTGTTGTTTTTAAATGGAAAATTATTTGCTGCTTTAAACAACATTTTTTTCTGTCTGTTGTGAAAATGTTTTCTAGTTGTCTGAGGCCTTTGGTCTTATATAAGGCTTTAATCTTCTGAAAAGTTTCCATAACCTCTAGGGTTTAAATGAATATTAATCCTGTCCAGCAGAAAAACAAACAAACAAAAAAAAAAAAAAAAACAAAACACAGCTGGAATGAGAATGGAGAGAGATGCAATTCATTAGGCATCTGCTTTTAAAATCCAGCTGTTCACCTGGTGGACAGCACAGCTCTTGGCTGTGTGTACTGTAATTCTGCACAGGGCAGGACTGAGAGCTGGTAGGTAAAATGCTATAAAAGTGTGTCTTTAAGGAATGATGAAGTATATTAAAAGAAGGTGTACAGCCTCAACATCATAGAGATGACTCTGGTGAAAAGACGTGACGTAGTTGTGCAGAATAAGTGACAGAATGGGAGTTCCAGCTACAGTTCTGAGGGAAAGCCAACACAGGAGCTTGTTAGCACAAAAAAAAAAAAAAAAAAAAAAAAAGCCTTCCAAACCACCAGAATGTTTCCTGTATAAAACATTAATCACTTCTGCTGGAGGACAGCTCATGGTACACATTAGGAAATTTCCAGTAGCTGCAAGAACAATACAAACAGAAATCAGTAAAGGACTCTGAGGTACAAGCGCATCTGAAGGATGCTCTGTAAGGCAACCCCCCCAAGAACTGTCAAAGCAGGTTTCTGTCAGAAGATGAAAGCTAGTTTTTTCTCTGGAGATGAACTGCTTTGTAGGAAAAAGGAAGCAAAAACATTTTTCTTCCCATCAGCTCATTTCCTTCCTAAACTAACTCCATCATTTCCTAAGCCTACCCAGCATCTTTCTATTTATTAAGTTTACCTGCAAAGTGCTTAATTCTGCTCCTTCTACAATTCACAGAGGCAGGCAATCTAAGACTATTTGCAAATAATCTTGGGAACTGCTGAGAAGGTAATAGCTAACTGTTCCTGAGGGGATGAAAAATAATAAAGAAACAAAAAATATTTAGAAATCCTAATAACAAAAGATATCAGACTATATATGAAAGCATATAAAAAGATTTCAAAGCCAAACAGGGCTTGAGAAAAAAGAAGAAAGAAAGCAAGAAAAGAAAGAAATACTTGGTATTGTTTTGCCTCCTTTGTATTAATGCATAGTCAGCCATTCATACTTCAATTGAATATGTGTCTTATTTTCTGCCTGACCTCCGTCTCATTCAGAAAGATTGTCTCCATGTAGTCTTTGCATTCTCCTGCCTTTACAGCAGGACAGTTTGTATCGTACTCTATCAGTACCTTGAGAAAAGTACCCCTAAGGAAATCAATGAAAGAAAGGGCAACTTCTTCTATTTTGGAGCACAGGGCTTAAAATATCTCCTCCACCACTGTTTGCCAATGCCATCAGTGAAGCAAGGATAACAGCAGCTTCTTCCTGCCTTGTTCAGTGTGCAGGATTGTCATTTAGGATTCAGTCTCTGCAGCAGTAGGGTCTTGACATCCTCTCTCATTTTCAGATGTTGCATGGAACATGAGGAGCAGACAGTGTGTTGGGGCAGGCTAGGAGAAGGTGTGGTGCCATGAACTATAGGGCTGGAAAAAGTCACCAAGAAACCTGTCCCAGAAATGAGGAGCAACAATGACCTGAGCAGAGGTACTAATTCAACTCCTGCCTCCCACTCTTGAAAAGAGAGAGAATAAGGATTCAAGGACTTCCTAAACCACATATGAGACAATACGTACTGTGAAAACAAATCATGTTTTTTTCTACCCTTTTAAACAAGGAGATTTTCTTGAAAATAAATCATAGAAAATATCATTGCAGGATAATTGTTCTCGTGCACAGCTTTCCGTTTCATTTGTCCAAAATCCTTTTGCAAGCTCTATTCCGCTGTCTTGTGGTGTATGTTTTCTTCTAACCTTATTGTAAACTTCTCTTTTTTTTTTTTTATTTTCTAGGCTGTAACTGACGTCTGAAAGCACTCAGCTGTTACGGTGGGGTATGTGTTAAACATACACGCAAAAAAAAAAAATCACTGTGATTTCTCAAGACTGACTGGTTGGTACTTTAGACTGCCTGACAAATAACATGTCTCAAAGCAAGTCTTTTAAGATCTTTTCCTGATAATGCTCATGATAATTGAAGACCACGACCATTCTGGTAAGCTTAAATTCTTTCACACACACAAAAATAAAGCCAAATTCTACCAGCTTTTGGTCAGTCAGTGCCTCAGTCAGTAAGCCATAGTTTCGAAAGCCTTGTGTCATCACTCAAGTTGTCTCCTTCCTCTAAGTAACAATGAAGCACAGGCAGAGCTCTACATGACCTGATTTGATATTACCAGGTGGTAACACAGTGACAAAAGAGAATTCACAGGACATCTTGTTCTTACAGATCTCTCTCTGCCTTAATGGTATATAAATTTTTAGTAAAGGACAGCACCTCTTAATCACTTACATTGTTTATTTTGATGTAGCTTACAGCTTTCATTTTCAAACCAAAAACGGAAGGCCATAGTTTCTCTCAAGATGGCAGGTTTGTGTTTTTAAAAAATTTTAAATTAGCATGTATATTTACCCACTGTAGCAGAAATGCTAAATCACAGCCTGAAGCAGTGATTGAGTACCTGGTGGAAGGCAGGGCCAACCCAGGGGAGCTCAGGTGCATGCAATGTGACCAGAAGGAGTGGAGCCAGGATCACCCCTTAGCAGACCTCATTTAAGGGTTGGCAGTGGAGGCAAGGATTTTTTGCTGGAGATCCCTGCCTTACACAGGCCTACTGAAGGTAAGCATTTTCTTTTCTTTGTTTCTGTGCATGTGGCTGTTGCATTTGGGCAAATGTTCAAAGTCCTCAGCCTAGGACTTTGCTGTCATTGCTGTGTTTTCCATTGTATCACAGTATTGCACCTGCCTTCTGTTTTCTCACTCAATTTTTCTTCTTTCCATTGCTCTTATAGTAATACTGTTGGATGTGTTAGCAGTCAAGAAAATAATCAGTGCAGATACTAAAGCAATAATATATTTTGCTTTTTTACCAAGCAAACTGTTTATTTTTGTAACTAATTTGTTTTTATTTTTTTATTCCCATATATTTTTCATCATATTCTCAGTTATGGTATGTTGACAAAGTATGTAGCTTGAGGACACCCATACAGGTACTCAACAAGGCACCTTTAATATGGGGGCAGTTGAACTGCCTGCCTGTGCTGTGTTGTGACAGCTGTTGTTTGAAGGCTTCCTGGTCCACCCTTTTCTATCGTGGGCTGGTGTTTTCCATTACATTACATTTGCTTTGAAATGCATCATAGCCTTACCTTTCCTGTGCCATGAAAGTTGTGTTCTTGCAGTTACACTGTGCAGTTTAGCCTGAAAAGCAGCCATATAATGCGACCACAACTCTATTTGAGAATGTGATAGTGGAGGTTGAAAAGGATATTAAAACTTAGGCTTTAGACCTTTAAGCTAGTCTGTAGTTGACTCAGGTCAGAATGAAGTGAACAAGAATGTTTCTCTCATCTCGTGGCCTGTGACTTCACATCTGAGAAGTGGGATCTGGATGCCCTATGTCCAAGATGATGGAACAGCTTCCATGGCAGCTCCTGATCAGCTGGTGCTCATCCCTACAATTAATAACATTGTCAACCCTGCTGATAATGTTATTAATCAGACGGTGGCAGTGCATAAACATTTCAGCTCAGTGAGTATTTGAAATTCTAATGTCCTCAGTGCTGTCCAGTCATAAACGCATCTTTCCTGCCTAAAATTCTTTCCAATAGCTCCACTGGAGTATTGGATTGGTAAGTAGCGTCCATATTTACCAACTGCTTTTGTTTATTTCAGAGGGCATTTTTGGAGGGCCAAGTATTACACTCTTTCCAGGAATCAATGAGTGGCAGATGCTAACTTTTTATAGTACTTTAAGGCAAACCTGCATTACTAAGTGCTCTCCTATCACAGTAATGGGAAATGGAAGGAATATATTGTACCAATCTGTTGCACAGTAAAGTAAAACATGTCTCCTGGTTTCATTTATTGAAGGTCATTTAATTTTATGTAATATAATAATTGTCCTGCATAAACATAGCTGTAGAGCTTTTCTTCATGAGCTAAGAGTTGTATCTTTTTCAGATGAAACTAAAGGCTCAGTGGGTCTCCCAGAAAGGGAATTGTTACAGAGCTTGAGGACACCTTCCTTGGAAGAGTATAACGCTAACCTGCTCTTAAGCAGTGATGCTGTCTGCCTCTAGACATCACTGACATTGGCACTTTGGATACTGGCTAGTTATTGTTTCTTTATATACTTTAGTTTGTGAAAAACACAGCAATATGGCATGTATGTTTAAAGGCCTCAGTACAGCTTGTCATCTCAGCCCTGGCACACACCTGGATTTGCTTTGCATAAGCATGAGTGAGTCTGGTTGAGTCCAGTGAAGAGCAAACATCCGGTGTCTGTACTAACATAGTCAGATCTGTCACCTGCTTAGAAATTCAGGAATTATGAGAAACACTTGACTGATATCTATGCCACCAATCACTATTCTAAACCTGTCATACTTGGGGGATCTGAAGGAATCGGATGTATTCTGTGGAGAAAGGATGTTCTCCTGGAGAGATATGGAAGCAGTGAGTTCAGTGCTCAGTCATCTCCTACAGGACCTTTCAACCCTGTGTCCTGCTTCATGGATTGGGAAGGAGTGGGCACAACTTTGTGCTTGCCCCAGGTGGCTGTCACAGATAGGAGAGATGGCATAAGGCATCATCTAGTGTTATTCCAGGTAAATGTGACACAGAGCTGCCTCTGATTACTTCACTGACGCAGATGAACACTATAGCAAGGTGCTTGATAGGCATTACACAGCATCCTTTTTACATGGTCAAAAATGGCTGCTGTCTTCTGCTGTCAGCTGAATATGTTTCATGGATTTGTGCATGAGCTAGGTAACATCCAGGAAGGAAAGGAGTAGAATCAAAGCAGTAGAAATGAAGAAAGGATTAAACATGAATTCACAAATACTCTTATTACCCAGGGGAAAGTGTTGGCTACTCTTTTATCTTTCTGTGATTTTTTCAGTAGAATAAGATTGCACAAATATTTTTTCCCCACTCTCCATCACGTGTACACAGGATACAAATTACCATTATTATGTATCGAACAAGAGCAAGTATCATTGCTTTAGGAAAGAGTAGCTGACCAAAAATTGAATTTGTATAAGCAAAACTTCACTATGTGTTTCAGAGATGGCAGCATACCAAATCTCTTACTGTGCTGCAGGTAAATCTTCATGGCTCAATCGATATGTGGAAGAGGAAAGAGTCTGTTGCTGTCTTCCATTCTTCGGGAAGACTTCCTGAAAAAGTAAAATGCGTTCATGCCTGACCCCTTTGTTTGTGCTTTGGACCATCAACATATTCCTGTTACTGTAGGACACTGAGAAGGCAGCATGTTGGAAGGATGAATGAGAGTGGGCTAGGGGAGCACTTCATACAGATGCCAAATCTCTGTTGGTCAGAGGTCCCATAGCGGTCCTAATTGGTTACATGCTCTGACTTACTGCCAGGACTGGAGCTGCTATGGCTGAAACGTGACTTCTGAAACTCCCATTGCTTTGCCTTCTGTTAAGATACCTTTCATTCAGATCAGACCTAAACCGTGGATATCAACCTGGAGAATAATTCGGGGAAATCTTGCCAAGAAGGAATTAACCAAAGGGCTGGAAGGGATGAAATCTAAAACAGTGCAGTGTGGGTTAACATTTCATTCTTGAACTTCTCAGCATTAGTCATTTCCATCTGTAGCACATGCTGCTGTTGCTCTCAGAGTTGATGCTTGTCCAGTTGGCTCTTGTATCTGTTGTACAAGATGCCAGATGTGCCCAGAAGCCAGGATCATTTATGCCGCAATCATTCAGTCTGAACTGACTCAAATCGTGGGGCTTTGTTTGGGACACCTTTGTCTCCGTACAGTTTCTCTTTGTTCACCTTGAAAAACACAGCTGAGTTTATACTGCTGTGCCCACTCCTTTTCCTATGAAAGCTTTATCTTTACGCTTCTGACACATTTAATTTGTTATCTGATGTCCTACTTTGTTGTCCAAGTAGATTCTGCAGTGAATACTGCAGAAAAATGGGAACGGTGAGAATGCTTGTTTCCACTCGCAAGTAAGCTGGCATCTGTTTTATTGATGATCTTTAATTTCCAGGGGTACCATTTGTTCTGTGTTTATGAAGCACTGGAGACATAACAGCGTTCATGCTCCTGAAGTTGAATGGCAGCTCTGGGTATCTCTTGGACCTGAGCTACCAGAGCAGGAAAGATGCCCCTAGGAGGTAACATAACTAGCAGAGTGAGCATTCAACTATTTTCCCTTCATTTTATGTACCAGGGTGAGGAAAACCTGAGAGGCAGAGAGAATGGGGGACCACAACTCTCATTTTCAAAGTTATTTCTCAGTGAGTGCTGCTGGCAGGATAATATGGGCAGGGTCCACGTCTGAGGAGAAAAACGAAGCAGTGCCCTAGTCCATCACCAGCAGATGTAAGTATGGCTCCTGCTCCTGGACACTGGCACTCCTCTCAGTGTCTGGACCATGGTGAGAGTCCTTTTTGTACTACAATGGCTCTGGCTATGATGCTAGTTTAGCCACTGTTTGAGTTCTGCTGTATTCATATATGCTCCTGCAGGGTACACTGTCTGGATGAAGGTATCCAGAACTGCAGAATCAGTTGCTTTCATTCATAATTTGCTTTGATTAATGACTGTCATGATGAAGATTTGTACTTTCTATTTGATTTTCCCTGGCATTAGCTCCCATCAAGTAATTCAAGTTATGCCCTTCCTTGCTAAATTTGAAGAGCACTTCAGGAAATCCTTGTTTCTTTTCAGGGAGGTGTTTGTACATTGTAATCCCATCACCCTTCAGTCTTCATTTTTCATGCTTACTAAACATTATTCTCCTTATCTCTTGCACGAGCAAAGTGTGTTCTTTGTCTCCTGGATCACTGTGGAAAGTCTTTTCTGCATGTTTTCCAAACCTCTGCAAAGGAGTATGTAACACCTACCTCAGTGTCTTTAGCTTACTCTCCTCTTTCTGCTGCAGGTCATTTTTTTCTTTATCCTGACACCATGACCTTAGGGTGCAATTTCTAAATATCATGCAGTCTTCCCTGAGCTGCTGCTCCGGACTGGAGGCCACCATCTTCTAAGCTTGTTCTGTCTTCTATGTTCTGTGCATCTATATGTGGTACTTTGCACCACAGACTTTTAGAAAGAAAACTTCATGGCTAAGACCAATTTCTCAGGTTATTTCTGGCATTCTGTGTGACTGCTTTTCAGTCACAGAACTTTCATAGTACCCATATTTGTTATCTGACAGTTTGATCAACAAAGTTTTTGGAAGTACTTTTGGATCACTGGTGGAAAAACTTGAGTTTTATCAGACCTAATATGTTCCATATACTGCAAAATATTGTGATATCCAAAATATCACACTGACTTCAATTGCTGTTCTTTCATAAAACTGTGTTCTTGAAATCTGACCAAATCTATTTGTGTGAGCTCATTTTTATTTATCTAATTTGCTGCAAAGATAAACTGAGCACTTGAATAAGAACTAAGTAGGCTACACTGCACACATGCAGATTTCACTGTTAAACCACAGATTTCATAAATGTTTTCTTCGAAGCAGTGCTGATGGCATTAATTTCATCTTTAACTGTGTGTCGCTTGAATTTTGTAGTGCAGTTCCCCCATGATTTTACTTGATATTGATGCTGACTTAATTGTCCTGTTATAGTCTAGGTCATCTTCCTTTTTTGAATTTTGGGCTGAAAAAATTGACCAGCTGACCATGCCAGAATGAATGCCTATATTTTGATATTCACTGATGTGACTGCTGCAGACAGACTTAATGACTTTCTTCTCTTGAAAACAGATTCAAATAACCATTGTTGCTTGATAAGCAAACAATAAATGGATTGGGTTTTTTACTCTAGGTATTCCTGAGAAAGTGGGCTCCGTTATGTTCAGGACCAGAATGAAAGTGAAACTCATCATTAGGTAAACATCTGGTTCTCATGCTTTTCCTATGTTTGTATTTCTTTTTTTCTATTATTCTGTTTTTCCTTGACAGAAATAAGAAGGAAAAAAATGTTGAGAGGAAGAAAAGAAGATGCGGTAGTATTAGTAATATCTGGTCTTTACAGAAAAAAAAATTATATGTTCTGCTCACTTTAAAGAAAAGTCATTTTGCAAAAACAGCAGATGGAAGTATGTATATTTTAGGAAATTTGTCTTTTGGTTACCAAAAATTTAGATTTTCAACTTTGTATTTAAGAAATGACAGCATAAATATAGGAGCTGCATTCACAGCTTTGCACTGTCTACTGATGCTGTTGCCACTGGAAGCTTCTGACCACTGTTGTCAATGGACCACTACTGATTCACATAATGCACCAAAAATCCAGGATAATCAGAATCTCTTTCACTACTGGCTGAACAGAGGTTACAAAATTTCTTTCCTTCATGTCTTTTTTTGTGTGTATAAATTGTAAAAAGTTTCAGTACTAAAACCATTTAATTTGTTTTGTTCCAGCTCTTCATCTTTGAGTTGCTCTGATTGCATTTGAGGATCAAGTCACTCCTGTTTGCATTACTACACCTTTTCATTTTAGTTTATTATTCCCAAAAAGGTGTTACATGCAGAAAAGAAAACATGTCTTGCTGAAACACAGTCTGAAATTTACAGAAGAAAAAAAAATGTTCTAATCTGTACATAATTAAATCTTTACTGCCTAATAGTATCTATAAATTGCAAACATTGGCTGCAGCATTAATGGCATACAGACACACCAATTAGAGAAATAGGAAAGGTACAAAATTAGAGAATAGCACTTGAGTGATATTTGTGCTCTTCAGTGTTCTTGGACAATTTTTATGTCATGGGAAACTATGCTGAGATGTCCCTGAGCTGTGACTTTGCGTTCTGGAATTTAATCCTTTTTTTTTTTTTTTTTTTTTTTTTTTTTTTTTTTTCTTTTTTTTTTTTTCTTTTTTTCTTTTTTTCCCCCTTAGTCTGGTTGATTCAGTGTCTGAATACACTTCGTACCATGAGGATCCTCTTCCCTGAGCCAAAGTCTGTCAGAGTCAATTTCAGCAGTTGATGAGGCCCTTCAGGTGAGGCTTTTACCCTCAAAATGGCTTGATAAGTCTACAGGAATCTAAATGTACACTGTAGAAGTTGATTTGCCTTTTTCTTCCCCTGCAGATCAGGTACAACATTCAGTGTACCTCCCTCTCCCATCTGTGTTCAGCAAAGACTCAATTTACATTTCATTAGAAAAATTTCATGGAGTCTTGGACCAATAGCACTGCAAAACTTCCAAGGTCTCATTATTAGATGAAACTCTCAGATCTTCAGATTCACCTCCATCCTATTGTTTTACTGTTCCTAACTGAACAGTCTAATTTACTACAAGTCTGTGAAAGAGTGTGAAGCTGCTTCGTGCCTGGGAACAAAGAAGATAAAGTAGGGGGTAATTAACAAAATCGAAGAATGCCACATTGCCTTGGGTTTTACTTTATTTCACTGCTACCAGGTCTTTGTAAACATTGATTAGGCAGACAGCATGTTTACACAGCCCAGGCAGCATGTTCCTACATGAGAAAGCAGCTTTTTTAATTAAACACACTCTTTTTTCATAGTCTGCTGCAATTTACAGTGTTGTTCATTCTCTTTTGTACTGAACTTATCTCTTTTTCCAATCAAGAGCTTTTCTTCTCAAATTCATAATGTTTTCTGTAGTATTTACCTTGTGCTGGTTGACAAGATCAGTGTCAAATTAAGGTTCCTTAGATTTCCGTACAAACTCTAGTTTTGGTTAGATTTCATATCGGTACCCTGGCCATTTTGCTCTTTAGCTACTGCAACAAGGAGTATTTAATCAACTAAGTAGTATCAAAACATGACAAATTACAAACTTCTTAGCATAGAGTACTATGATTTACGCCAGCTGTTCAATTAAATTGTTAATAGAATCCTCATTTTTTTTCATTCTCCTGAAATTGGAAAGACACACCCTGAAAGTTCTTCTCAATCCCACAAAGTAATCAAGTAGAGAAGATTTAACAAACAAGCAGAAACACAGACAGAATACTTTGTAAATCTCAGCCTATTAGCTACTGCTTGAGGATTACTGTACAAAGCCACACCTCTTTCTGAGTCACTTTCTTTAAATTATATCAGTTGTTTCTAGGAAGCATTTTAATATAACGATACTATTTCTGGTTATCTGTTCTGCATTCCGTAAAAAAGCCTGAAGACCACTTTAAACTCTGCAAGGACTTTCGAGAAAGAATTTTGCAAGCTTTCTAACAGTAATCATCACTTGACTGCCAGGACACGTTCTCTCAGAAAATCTGAGGCAAACACATCACAAAGTTGTTCATTTAATGTAAGTGTACTTCTGGTCTTAAAAGTAAATCTGATCTGAAAACAGTGTTCATGAATCAGAGTCTCCAGATATCTGCGCCAACAGTGAGGCAAAGCCAAGCAAAAATATATTTGCAAATTCTGTCTTTACCCATAATTCATCTAATTTAATGAATGCTTACTAGATCCTTATTGGATTTAGAAAGTCATCCTAAAAAATGCTTATGGAACTAATTTTACAAAGCAAATAGAGCCAAATATATATATATATATTTGTTTTCTGTTTTAACATACTCAAAATAATGCCTCCAAATTGTCAAGGAAATACAGAGCCAGTCATCCACAAAGGGGTCCATGCTGGCCACAAACGTGCTACGCTAGCAGCAGTCGTTCACACCCTTTTCAGACCAGAGCAATACACGTCAGTTTTGCAGTGTGCACCTTCTCTAGGTACCTGGAATTGTATTTATATGGGACCACTGCATCGCTAAAAATCTGCAGATAGCAGACTGTGCTTAAGCACTTAAGATAGGCAGTGAGGATGCTCATCAAGAAGGCTACTGTCTGAGTGTGAACTCTGGAAATCTCTTCTTGAACAGAGGAAGAGCATGTTATCCTTTCTTAGGTTACAAGTTTTCCTAACTGGTAAGGAGAGACAGAGAACAGTTGGTATCACAGCAGCCTCGGCTATTTCCCCATGTTCCCACTCTCGCTACCTGTAAAGTCACCCTCAACTTTGAGAGTCTGACATCTGGGTTTTCTGAGCTTTTTACTTTCTTAGATGTTTATTTCAAGAGGATATGGGGTAGATGGTGAGCTGTAATTCTGCATGCATAACTGCTTTTGTTTTTCAATTGGTTTTGTGATTCCAAAAGTAGCCTAGCCTTGGTTTCTTCTTAAGCTCAACGAATAATTCCATTCCCCCTCTCCTTCCTGCCTCCCCTCCCCGCCCCCCAATACCACCCTAGGAAACTGTTTAAGTAATACGGAGACTTTCTCAATCTGTAGCTGTTTTAGACAGTGAACTGACCAAAGCCTGCCTTCAGTTAGGAGCATTGCTGGTACTTCACATCTTAAATACCTCTCTGAAACAAAAACTAGTTTGCTGCTTTTTGTTGAGGCACTCCCTTGATGCAGCTGCTATTTAGATGACTAAGGCTTAGCCCAGTAGGCTGCCAAGACAGCAAGAAGAGATTTGTAGATGCCAGACACGGTTGGAGGAGGAAGAGCCTAAATGCCTTGTTAGGTATTTAATGAAGGTAAAAGGAATGCTTCTACAGAGGCTATAGATGAAAGGTGCTATACAGGAGCTAGAAATTACTGGCAATGGTGGCAATAGCTGCAGAGAATGACACAGAAGCCAGAAAGAGGATGAAGCTGAGAAGGGCAAGGACAGAACTGCTGTACCTCTTCCCTCCTGAATCCCATGGTGGCTGCACATTCAAGTCACCATTGAAGCTCCATGGTGACTTCAATTCCATGGCTAGTATGTCAAGGTAACTAGCGCAGGTTAAACTATGCACATGGCAATGTTGTCATTCAGAAGCTCAGATTTGTTCAGAGATAGCTGTTAAAATAGGAAATATTTGAAAACAAGCCATTACTCAGTTCTCAACTGACCCTATACCAAAGCCTGCTGTATAAAAAACAGCACATACTTCATATGCCTTGACCTCGTTCTCAGAAGAAGCTGCACTTTAAACGACAAACAAATATTTTCCTATCTTAGATACCACTTAAGTAAAGAGGATGAATGCCAGCAGGATGTTAACAAAGCAGCAGGTTGCAGCACGCTGCTCAAGGAAGATAGGAAGGAGAGTGGCTGCTACTCGATTCCCACCCACCCACATGTACAGCAATTGTTTCACCAAGTAGTTAATGAGAAGGAAGCTAAAATCCTGTAGGGATATGGCATGATTCAGAAACAATACAAAGGAAAGCATCATGCTTTTTGGTGATTTCAAGAGATTCACCAGACTAGTCATTTCATAAGGAGCAACTAACAGGCGTTAATGTTAATTCATTGCTCTCCCTCTTTCTTTGCTCTGATAGATATTGCTGCAGGTAACGTTTCTAAAAAGAGTATATTATTTGGGTGAATGCAGTGATGGATCAGAGCAGGAGTATTTCCTACTCCCACTTCACACATTGCATTAAAGAGTCCTGCATTGACTGATGCTGGCAAAACCATGCACTTTTTGTTTGTTCTGAGCACAAATGTTAAGGCTGTACTTACCTCATACTATCTGTGTAACTAAACAAGCAGCTATACAGCTAAACCCAGCAACCATGTTATTGTTTTATCCACTAGCAGGTAAGCAATCAGAAATGTCCTTAAATCAACTTTTATTCTACAGAACAGCGCCAAGCAGAGATGACTGTAGAGCCAAGGTCCACAGCTTATGAGACATTATTTAATTCTTTTCATTCAATTTGTTCTATTTCCAGCAGAAATCTGTGAACCAGAAATCAAAGAAAATCTGATTTCAGAAGCACTTGTACTCACTGTATCTGAACCAAAATATTTCCCTCACATAGCAGCTGCTTCAGGGGGCAGGGATATTCTCAGTGCCAGTAATGAGGTTCACAAAGCAGCATGGAAAGCTCCAGGGCATCCCTGCTTTATACAGTTTACAAACAGCCCCAAACTTCCATTTCTTCCATCTCAGCATTGCCATAGAAATGTTGGCATTTCTGAGAGCCCTTGTACAGCTCTGGTTTAGGGATTTCAGGATATTTGTCTAGAAACTGAAGCAGGCTGGGGACAGGTTCTGGCTTTGTGATGAGAGACAAGTGCTGCAAGGCAGCCCTATGCTTATTGTACAGTGAAGGCATGGTGCAAGGCAAGAGTTTAAGGACTTCTGGGATGGGATGTGAGGCCCAGCAAGTCTGGAGACTGCAAGGGCGTTGGGAAGTGCATTACCTGCACTGGGCTCTAGCCATGAGGTGGTCAAACAGAAAGTACTCATACATAATCCTCCAGGCTTGGCTACCTGAACTTGAAGGGCTTCTGGTGATATATTTGGGGCTTGCTGAATTCCTTGTTTTCTTGGAACACATTTGATTCAGAAATACAATACTCAGAAATGCAGGAATGTCCTGAAAAAATCAAAACCTTGAAATGTCATATTATATATTTCTACATAACTTGCTGTGGGCTTTCTGTACAGAACATTTTTAATTATGTCATTCAAAATAGAATACGTATTACCAACTGGGAATTTTTATATAGCTTAAGTACATCATGCATAGCTTTTTATTTCCAATGATGGAAGAGTTACCTCCAAACATAGCACAGGGACATTTACTCCTCTTTGAATAACTCCAACTCAGCCCTAGCAGAGGTTGCATTGGTTTTGAAGATAATTCTGAAGAATTATCTATGAATTTAATTTTGGTTTTATTTTGCAGTGCCTAGATTGCAGGAGCATGATAAAAATATCTGAAGATAAATGTTATTGTTCGTGGTCCCTGTGTTCCTGCTGCAAATTATTCACTGTACATTGAGAAAAAGTCTGTATTATACTGGTAAGATATTGCTGAACACCTTCTTGTAGCTTCTTGTAAGGAGTAGACCATAATATTAAATTGTGCCATAACCATATGCCAGTTCATCAGAGAGGTAAAACACATTAGCCTGAAAATGGCACAGCACTAAAGCAGTGTGATGCTTTACAGACATACCAAGAGGATGTAACTCATAACAACTTGTAAAAAAAATTTTGGCAAAAGTGTTGTAGCGCTCCCTTCATGTATGAATGGCCTAGGAGCCTAGATTACAAACATGTCTGAAGGAAAAAGGAAGAAAAGTACAACTGCATGTTCGTGTAAAGGAAGATGAAGCAGCAGATTATTCCATTGGTAGAAGAGAGAACTAAATGACCAGAAGTCTTTGTGGAGCTGGAGATGGCAAGCAAAGGATGTGAACTTGATCTCCGTTCCCTTTCCCATCACATGTTAGGCAGCGCGGTTGGGCTAGTATAAAGAGGAAGAGTGGGAGGGAAGCCTCAGGGCTTGAAAGAAATGGAAAGCTGAAACTGTGCTACACGATGTAGCAGCAAAGTCACATCACCCCTTAGTCTGGGCCATGGTTCAAACTGGGTTTGAAATTTGGGAACTTTTATTTATAATAACACTGTACATTCAATTTAATTTCTTTCTTCCTATTGGAATTCTCAGATCTGTAAAACTACTGGATCTTTTCCAGGCCATCCCAAGTTTAGAGAAGTCCTACCAGCCTCTCATTACTAACTTATAAGGAGCATGATAAACAGATTAGGCTCATAGTTGGCTTGGATTATGGCTTAGAGGTTTTCTTACTTTAATTTATATGCATACAATATAGAGCGTAACAAGCACTCAATTACATAAGATTCTTTCCTAGAAATTACCCATCAGGAATAGATGATCTCTATTCAGATTTTCTGTTGAAAATTACAAATGCATGAGCAGAACTGCAGTTTCAGTTTCTTTCTGCTCTTTGCATAGCTAAGGCTCAGGTAGTATTTGTTATTTCAATTTTTTCTGTTCCAGTTAAGTCCTGACTTACATGCCTGTATTCACCTGCGTGCGCATCCCATGCTTGCTCAGATCAGCATCCAGCATACAAAAGAATAAAATCTAAGCTATCAGCACAGCATGAAGAGAATTTCTTTGAACAGAAATTTCTCCAGATAATTCATAAAAGCTCAGATCAGGTTTTTGTTTGTTTTTTCAACAGCAGTTTTTATCCAGGTAATTTAGTTAGTTTTTTATTTATTTAACAGTTATTTAACAGTTAAAAACTTCTGTTTTGGACAAGATGACATCCAGATATCACCCAACTACCACAGGTCCCTTCCAACCTCAAGCATTCTGAATTTTTCCTTTTTTCCCCTACTCCTATTCACTTTGCCATTCCTGTTACATTTCAGACACGGGGATGCTGAAGATCTGGGGTCAGCTCATGCATTGTGCTGAAAGATACTTACCCATTTTTCCCTTGCAGGGAGAGGAAAAATAGCCCAGAGCCCATACAGGTGATCAAGAGACTAGTTACCTTCATTTGCTCATGCACCAGGCCAGCCCCTTGTTATTATAATATTACTAGGCCAAATTATGACCAAATCATGCTTTTAAACTCAGTTATTCTTCAATAAATGACAGCTCAGTTGATTTCAAGTACTTTTTTTTGTTGTTGTTGGCAGACGAGTTTGAACTTTATGAGGTGATTCCTGCCCTTGTTAAGGCATGTGGAACTTGTTTCTTTAAAGTAAAATTAACTTAGCTACTTTACTTCTTCGCTGTGTGGCAAGTAACAGCACAGTGTGTTAGGCAAACAAAAATCTACTTTTAAGTCAGAAACTAAATTTAGAGACTTACCTGGAGGGCACAGCTTGAGGAGGTAAATGCTTGCCATGATCTGTCTGTGTCTTTGTAAGGGCTCCATTATGGCATCTTCAGTGCCCATGAGCTGGGTTTGCCTGCTGGGTTCCCACATGCTCTCATAGTAAGATTTCAGAAGGAATTCATGGATACTACTGAATTCTTGCTGCTTGTTTTCACTTTGACCTAGAGAACAGTTTGTACTTTCTTTTAATTGGAGCTGTAATCAAGAATGCAGCTCTGTTTGCAGATTTAGCAGATAATAGACTTTTTTTTTTCCCTTCTCCTCTTCAGTCAAATGAAAACTGCATGTTACTCAGGTGGCAGGACCCAAACAGATGTGTTTTGCCCTTTGTTTCCTCAGGTATGTGATGGCTGTCGCAGTCAGGCTGGTTGCACTGATCTCTCCTATTTCACCTAACATTTGCATTCTGAGAGGCTGCAGCTCTGGGCTAAGATCTGCCTTTCTGTCCTTTCTCTCACAGCGTGTAAGGTAATGTTATGTACCTCTCTGCTCATTTCCTTTTAACTTTGTTTGATTTCAGGACAGGTCAGTGTTTGCCTGAAATCCCATCATGGCTACTTCTGCATTTGATGAGTATTACCAGCACAGACAGAGGCACCATGGAGGAAATCCCAGCCGTGCAGAACAAATGTAAGTCCTCTGTGATGATCGTGTGAATGCGTTGTCCTGGTGATGCCCTTTTACTTCTTACCAGCACCTCAGACTCCCCTTCTGTATAAACCTCTTTTCTGCATGGTTAGTTACTGCTTCTTCCTCCCAGAGTAAAACCTACCTACATTTTTCTTGTTATCATGTTTGAGAGGGCTGTGAACCAGCTCTCCAACTTGCTCCATGAGAACAGTTTGTTCTTTCTGCTTCTCTTCTGGGACATTAGGAAGCACTCAGTGAAGGGTTTGAGAGGCCCGGATAGGTCAGGAAAAAGTTACCTGTGTACTAAAAGCAAGGTTTTTGTTGTCGTTGTTGGGGGAGGCGAAGGTTGTTTGTTTGTTTTTTAGTGTTTGGGCGTTATTTTTTAGCAAAGGGCCGTACTCGGTACTCGAAGGTTTCAGTGCAGCTTTACAAACTGCGCTTCGCCGACGTCGCACCGCCACCTGGTGACTGTGTTAGGTATGGCGGCCGGGGAGCGGGCTGTGCCGCGCGCACTTCCCGCCCAGCGCCCCCCACGCGCTCGCACACGCCCTCACCAGCAGGGGGCGCGCGACCTTTCTCGCCGCCCGCGCCTCGCGGTGCCGTTGGATGCCAGCTGATAGAGCGAGGAGTGCAGCTAATCCAGGGCGCGCCGTGCAGGGCTTGATAATACGGCTGAAACGGTCGTGCTTGGGGACAGTTTGACCTATTCCAATGACCTAAGCGATGGGATTGAGTGCACTGTGGGCCGAGTTTAGAGCCGACACCAAGCTGAGCAATGCAGGTGTCATGTAATACTCAGCTTAGGACTTTGCAGATCCCAACTTTTGTATAGCTGCTTTGCTTGTGAAGAAGTGGTCAAACCTTGGACCAAATGACAGCAATTTAACGGGACTGCAGGTAGGAATAAAGATAAATTCCCAGAACAGCTCATACCCATCACCACGTATCTCTCAGGGGAAAAACAAACAAACAAAACAAAGCACAAAACCACACACCGTGTGTTGGGGAAATAACGAGGTGAAAACAGCTCCAGAGCATCACTGCAAATGCTGGTCTGTTACTAATGCATTTCTGTGAGCATTTTCCTATGGGAAAAGAATATGTTTGTTGGTTAAAACTCCTCTCTCCTGATACCAGTTTGCAAAGCATAGCATCTTAGAGCTTTGGCAGTTGCTAGACCATAAGTATTTCAGCATGGACATGGCTGGTCTGCTACTTATGGACCCCTGGTGGGAAGGTGAACTTTTGTTGCATTTTGTCTGTTTGCTTAAATTTTTACATGGAGCAGCTCTTGTATACTTGCTTCATTCCTCTGTCCATTAAGCAGCATACAGTCATCTCTATCTTTGGTTTCACCACTGCAAGATCTGGAAGAGCACACGCTCGGGAGCCAGTTCTTCTTGCTGTGGATACAGCATCCCCATTTGCCATGATAAGAGGACTTCATTGGCTCTTGGTCTGGTACCCAAAACTGACAAGTTAGCTCCGCCCCACCCAACATAATTTCACCTGCTACCTTCTTTACTAAGGTTCAGTTTAGTTTTCAAGATGTGCAGCAGTCCTGTCGCACCAGTTCTATGCATGCATTTTGATCTTGCCGTATTCCTCTTCCCCAGCAGAGATGAGTGTCTTTAATGTGTAAATTCACCTTTGAAATGTCAAGACCGCTTTGCCAACTGTTAAAAGTTGTAATTAATTTTTGTTAGGGCTAATAGCTAGCATGCATAATTGAGGACTTATCAGCTAACATTTACATTCCACCTTCTGTTTGCATTTGTAGGAATAATCAAATGAGACTATTATCGACAAGAAAACTGCCTGTCATTATGCTACTACAGAATAGTCACAGAACACATATTTCAAAGCCATGATTTAATAGAAATACTTTAAACCTGACAAGTTATAGTGATTCAGCAAGATGAGAAAAAGACAAGGGCTCAATCTCCAAACCCTGATCACTGGGTGAGCATTTCATAAGCCTGAGCAAACAGAAGAGATCATTGCAAAGAAGTGCTTGAGTTGTTTTGCATTCCTCTCAATTAGGCAAGATAGTCCAGGCAACCTCTACTCAGGCGTTACTGACAAGGACAATAATTTGATTTCAAGAAGTACTACCTGACAGAAAGATTCTGTGATTAGGAACTCCCACTCTTTTTGGACCTGCACCTTGAAGTTTTGGGATGCAGGTGGACTTGCCAGATTCTTTCAGGGTCCAGTTCACTACAGTGTCACCACTGACTTGCTGACCATCACCCAGGTCCTTGAAGACAAAAAGCGTGTACCTGAACAGTGGCAGAGAAAACAAGATTTGGCTCCGATCCTGAGCTGAGACCCAGCAAGTACACAGCCTAGAGGGAACATGAACTCATAGCAACATGCAAAGTCTGCATGTAGTCTCAGCTCTGTTTTTTTTTATTATTATTATTATTTATTTTTCACCCCTTCAGCAAAAAGGAAGAGCCAACTATTGTATCTGTAGTGCAATTTCTGTTAAATAATTTAACCTCTAATTATTCTCGCTTCATTTCATATTCAGACGTTACTAATGGACTGGAAATATAGCCTGTAAATACCCAGGTAAAATAGAAAAAATAATGCTGCTTCCCCTACTTCTCCTTGTTTGAGGGGATTGCACTGGTTGTGCAAATGCAAGGTGTGGAAAATACTGCCTGGTGGATGAACTGGGAAGTACTGTAGGTTACATGATGCTTATTACTTTGCAGAAGAAACACGGGTATTAGGCAGAGAGAATGGTGTTGAATTCTCTTGTTGTAGGAAATACTGGATGACTTCAGCTTAGAAGAGCTTTATTCCCTTGGCTGGGGGTGAGTGAACTAGAAAAAGCCACAGTAAATCTTTATATCACTGGGGAGCAAATGAGAAACTGCACTACAGAAAGCAGAGTATGGAAAAAGGAAGACCTTACCTTACGAACATAATAAAGATGGTCGGGCCAGAGGAAGTCTGGGCAAAAATGAGTGACTGTGGAAGTTGCTTGTCATCATGACTAGTGGGAAGTAGAACATGCACGAAGAAGATGAGACAATAGCTGGAAATATGTAGAAACTGTTAAGACTAACCTTGAGCCACATCCTTATTTAGGGACTAACAACGATTGATGTTTAATATTCTAGTCCAATGGCAATGTTTCTCCTTATCTAGAGAATCTGCTGTTTGTATGTTTGAATGTATGTAAGCATACAAACCTAAAGATAGGATTTATCCTCAAATCTTCTTCACAAACATATGTTCTCAACAAACAGCAAATGCTAAAGCTAAATTTGTTTCAGAGTCTGCTTTGACACTTACCACATGACCCTTCTAGAATGTTTCAGTCATCAAACAACATATACAACCTTCGGTCATCTTCTAAGTGACCAATTTAGGAGCAATTTCAACATGAATATAAATTTGGTGGTAATGTAATTATTTGTTCAACTGTTGCCAGATGAAATGGTGGATGGTGAGAAGAAAGGAGGTTTCCATCCTTCTAACTCTACAGGGTGAGTGTATTTTCACTTTGCAAGTGCTTTCTACTTAACATATCTGTGATATATGAGAAGCCCAAGATGTGCTGCACTTGGGTATATGGAGCTAAAAAGAAACATCCCTCACTTGTGAGACGTATGTAGCTATGAACTAAAATCTCTTTTTCTTCTGTTGTGTTATGCTCTGTTGAATACAACACTAGCTGCCTCCCCTACATTCAGCCAAGCTCCTGTCAGCAGAGCTCTCTGCTGACTTAAATTCTGAGTTGCTCTGACTTAACCTGAATTTCACTAAAAGTGTATTAGAAAAAGTGTTTTTGTCTTCTCTGAGTATCTGGAATAATATAAACCTAGCAAGAGTTGTCCTGATATCCAGAGCAGTGTAACAGGATGTGGTGTCTAACACGCAGGGCTGTACATGAGCATCAGTGCTCAAAATCTTGCCAAGAATTTAGTTTTCTAGGATAACAGTCTAATATTAGCCAACACAAAACTTGACAGTGGAAAAGAGTCAGGCAAAGCTGTTCATTCATAACAGAATGGCTTAGACCAGGTTTAGCTGGGAAGTATGTAAAAAGTAAAATAATAAAAATTTGCAGTGGCAGGTGTGTTAATTGGGAGCTAATTATCTTCTGTTATTAAGTGATACACAGTTGTTCTGGGGCTTACAAAAGGAAACAGAAATTCCAAAGGTAACAATGACAGCATTTTAACTTTGTTGAAAAATCTATAGGTTGAAAAATCTACTGTCTGTTATAGTTGAGTCCATTAATTTAATGTGTGGTCTTTTTCTTTTTTTTTTTTTTTTTTTTTTTTCCTTTTTGGAGGGCTAGGGAAGACAACAAGGTAGTACTGTGTCACGATAGGCAAACATATGGGGTTTTATTTCCTTATAACATCCTGTCCCTCTCTAGCTTTCTTTTTGTTAGGCAATTAAGCTATACTCTTTTTTTTTTTTTCCCTTTGGTAGCATACAGGCATGTAAAACATTAGGGAAAAAATATAGAAAAAGTAGCGAGAAAGAAAACAGCTGTATAAAAGTAGAGGTTTGGAAGAGTTTACTGCAAAGGAAATGAGAGGGGAAAAGAAGAAAGGAAACAAAAATATCTGTAACTTTGGACAGAGCAATATTAGGCAATGTACAGCTGACAAGCTCAGGTAAACCTGCTGTGTAAGTCCAGTTACCTAGATTTCTTTGATAACTATACTGAAAAAATAAAGGCATTAGCTGATGTATAAACAACTTCTTATCATTGTTAGACAAAGGATTGTAAATAAATGTTTCTTTTCATATTTTCATCCATCATCAATTCTTCCTAGGCCATTTCCAATCATTCCTTAGAAGACTGTACCGAAGCAATAAGATACCAAGAAATAAGCTTCTGTCTGTCTTTCTGTTGAAGACCATTGTGCTATGCTTCTCCAGCCCTATCATACTCAACAACCCAACAGAAACTCTGGTGATTGATTTATGGAAGAAGGCCCTGCTAGAGCTTCTTGTATATCCTGATACAACATCTGACTCAGCTGTAGGAATTCAAAAATTAATTCAGATTGCATTCCATTATTCCTAAGCAAGAATCAAAAGAGTAAGGGTTGTATTGGTGTTTGTTGGCCTCTTCCTGTTTGTATTATGACAGACTACTCCACAATGAGGTCACTCAAGGCATCTTTGGCTGTATTTTTTTCTAAATGCCTGAACTCATGTATTTGGGATACCGGCTCTGACAGTGATAAAAAGCAAACTCTATATGACTCAAATTTAAAAACAAACTCTGCTACGGACTCAGTCTTTACTTAGATTTTCTGCATATCATGCCTCTGTGGTTGGTGGTATGTGCTTGGGTTTAGGCTATACACTCACTGCTATGTTATAATTGTATCAACAGGAGATCTACAGGGGGTGTTTATCATTGCTTGAAAAACAGGAAAGCATGAGGAGATTGCTTGACATTTTCCTTCTCCAGTGTATTTTGATTAAGCAATGATTGTTACAATGGTTCTTCTGACCTTAAAATGGATTAAAACTGGAATGGAATGAAGTTTAAACAAAAAGTAAAATGAGTTTTTAACTTCTCTTCAGATAGATACCAAGAATACCTAAAATGTTTGAGCCAGGGACTTACGGTTCTGTTTAGCAGGTTAAATACATCTTAAGAAAACTGTATTCCCGAGAAAGAGGTACGTAACAAATGTGAAAATAAAAAAAGTGCAATTTACGTTTTGAACTGATGCAAGGAAACAGTAATTGTATTTCAGTGGCTGAAACTGTATTTTTGTAATTGTAATACAATTGAATTGTATTTTAGTAGGCCTGAACAGTAGGTCTTGAACCAAAGTTGATCTCTAGATGAATCTCGCAACCCAGCATTATATATCATGGGTATCTGATCATTACCAAAATATGTGTCTTGGACAAACCATCTCATTAGCTAGAGGTGTAGCTTAGATAAAGCATTATGAGAGTGTATCAACCTTTCCTTGTTTAGAAGCATAGTGTCAGGACCTACTGGTACACAAACTTCCTTGGTTCCTTCTTGAGCCCTGGCCAGCTTGAGGTGGAATACAAATAGACAGTGAAACCAGCTGTTTCCACCTAATTGTCATGTGAACTTTTTTATTCAACAATATAAAAGCTGGACCCTCTTGCAGTGAAGTTGGATACCTCAACTGAGGCTCCCCAGAAACTGTGGGATCTGGTGAGTGATGGTAAAGTATTAGGGCAATTGGGTTGTATCTTTCTTAATCACTGTTACTATCCTCGTGTAGTAATGGTTAGGTGACTTGTTCTGTATTATCATTCGTAGCCCTTCAGACAGTATTAACACCATTATTTTCTGTAAATATGCTATTTTCCTCCACAGTGATTATGCAGAGTTCACCAGAGAATGCACAGATGATCTAAATATGCCTCTCTTATTCAGTGTTTTGTCCCACCACGAAGGTGCTCTCTGAGTATAGATGGAGAAGTGTGTATTTTCCTTACTATATGTGTTCAGCTTCTGTAGTTTTCCAGAAGACCTGGCAACTTCCTTTGCTTAACATACATTTAAATATATGCCAATCAGAGCAAGGATAGCATTACCAACCATCCTCCCCTTAGAATATTAGTCCTTTTGGACTAGATGACCTTTAAAGATCCCTTCCAACGCAAAAGATTCTAGAACAAATTCTGCTTTTAGAAACAAAGGAGAACATTCCTTACTTGAAATTTTTGTTTTGTAGGAGATTAGCCTTGAAAACTTAAAAAATATGTAAAAGATCAGGCTGGTACCACCAAGCATTCACTCTGATCTGCTTGGATATAACGTTTAGATTTTCTTTCAGTTGTATTTGTCTGCTTATTCTTTTTATGTATTAAAATGTAGCAGTAATATTATAATATTTATTTTAGTAGAAAGGATAAAACCTTGCAGTTGGGGGATATTAAAAAGATTATTAGAAGATTGTAAAACAACAATAAAGTAACAATTGATGCTGCTTAGGCAGACACTGATCATGCTAGGGAAATTAGGGCAGTCTTGTGGAGAGAAAAAGATAAGAATAAATGGGCCAGTGAAGAGAATGGGATAAGCACAGTTTGCATTGGAGTTCATAAAGGTTACAGAAACATCTGGTCTGGCCTATAGAAATAAACAGGCATAGAAACTAGATTAAGATGATGCTGTAAACATGAAAAAAAAGACAGCGTGGTCAGCAAAATGGGATCTTCTTCCCAGAGATCAAGACATCAAAGATTTTTAGTTTTTATGTTAAACAAACAATAGATTGAAGGGCCACAGAATAACAAATGAATCACTTTTTTTAGAGAAAGATGTCTTCTAAAAAAGAGTTGTGCAAATATTAGATTCTGTCATCCAACCTCAGAATACACAGACTTCTGAAAATGGCAGAGAAAAATATAGATATTGTGTAGTTTTAAATGGCTGGCTAAGCAAACTAACCTCTAGGTCAGTAAGAATTATTATTGTTATTTTAAGACAAGAAAGTAGAACAGTTTTCATCTAATTACACTTAAGCAGAGTATAAATAAAATAAATAAAAAAAATAAGTATAAAAAAATAAGTGGGTAAGATAAGAAGTTGCTCAAAGGTCATACAGTATTAGGCAGTCAGGAGACAGCTGACTGGAAGAGGTAACAAGGCTTGGGTATAACCTTTCTACTTACAGAGAAGTGGAGAACACATTGTTGTGTGACTGGAAAAGCTCTGCATCTACAACAGCGATGCTATGACTGGCCACACATATGAGCTTCAGAAGAATCATACAGCTCAGCACAATTTGCTGACTGAGTGGAGAGTGAATCCCACGCTGAGCCACAAATTGCAGAAGCAGCTCAGAGCCGTCTTTTGAGCTTCACTGAGAAGCTGAGGAGACAGCTGAGGTGGAGGCAATGCTGAAATAGAAAAGGCTATTAACTGTCATCAGAACAACAGAATGAACACACTTTTAGGGCCCCAAATCCAGCAGATAAAAGGAGCTCTGACTGAGCTGCTATTATTAGCATCTTCGTGAAACTTCTCCTCCTTCACAAAATAAAACATGGATCTTTCTGTATGTTGTCTTTTTTTTTTTTTTTTCCTCCACACATCACGACAAAGTATGATGCTAGTTTGACAGGGAAGAGATTTCTATTGATCCCTTTGCTTGGCTGAATGACGTTATCCTAGTGAATGGCAAATAAACAGGACATAACAAAAGATTTGTAAAGCTCCTGATACTGAGGAGAAATGAGAAAAGTCAGATTATTAATTCTGTCAAAATGACAGCTCTTACTTCTATTCTGATAATCTGTATAAACTCCATATAATCACAACACTGCATTGATTAGCTCACTGAAATGTAATCTGATTAGTGGTTCACAAGGTTACATTTAATCTAACTGATCATGCTGGTGCACAGCATCTTTAAGTTGCTGGTTCTGTATTATTGCTCATAATGAACAGTCTATTAAAATTCACTATTAAAATGTAAAATGATTACCTCATTCTGATGCTTTCTATTTTTCTGCACTCCTTGGTCCTTTTTCCTGTATTTGAAATCATTTGTAAATCCTGTATTGTTAACAAGATGCATGTAGCATGTGTTTTATGTGTCATCATGTATTCGCAGTCTTCACATGTTGTTTTCTTTCTTTTTTGCTAATTTTGAGAAGACTTTCTTCCCAACTTATACTGGCATACCCTGTTTTTGCACTTTCACACTGTTGGTAATTTCCTTGGTAAAAAGTGCCCAACTTGATTCCACAGCTCTATTTACTGGAGCAAATTACAGCTCCAGGACAGGCTTCGCAGCAGTTTCAGTTTATTTCTGTAACTGATTAGTTCTTCTATTAATCCCTGTTAAGATAAGTAATTGTTTATAGAGAGCAGCTATAATAGCAATGCTAAGGTTTTCACTCTGTTTTTGTTTGTGTATTGAAAGTCATTCAGCTGTGAAAGCTTATACTTCCATCTGGGGACTTGTGCAAGGGAAAAGGAAGGTCACCCTTTGCAAATGGACAGCAAAAACACTGTATGCAGTAATTGTTGTTTTGTTAGAAGAGTTAAATCCAGGACAATGGATCTATGGCTGGTCAGGAAAAAGGAAATGAAACAAAGAAACGATTTCAGCCTCATTGTAAGGATGATGCAGCCCTACTGAAGCCACTGCAGTCACACCGGAGCTGAATTGGTCTATGATGACTTTAAAGAGACAATCTGTATCTAGAAAAGTGTATCTGTATCTGGAAAAGTGTTCAATGTATTCATTAGAAGATTCATTAGCTGAATGAGCTTTTATCTATCCCACCAGTGGTTAATGTCTCAGAAAGCTGGGAGGGTGAAAAGCTTATTTTTCTGCTGTCCTCCTCACTATCTGTCCATTTCACTTTCATGTATCATAGAAGGAAACACTTTTACCTTATCCAGAAGAAGCTCAGCTTCTCTGTTGGGAGGATCAGTGCTGGATCTGGAGCCTTGCAGTGGAGATCAGAGATGCTGGTATATATTTTCCAGGTGTTTATTGCCCAAGTGTTTATAGTCATGTTTTCTGTGGCAATTCCTGGAGTTCCTCTAGATATATCTAACTTTTTTTCCCTCTATCAAGTCGAACGTGACCATGAAGCTAAGGAACATTACATTTGTTGATAAAATGGTATAAATGTAGAAGTGGACCTAAAAAAATAAAACTGCTTGTTTATGTCATAGCTAAAACATAGGCCTTATTAGACAACATATCTCTGTGAGCCACCTCAGGCTATTTTTACCTTTAATTTGTAGGCATCATGTTGATGGGAATGAGAGGCCAGACCCAGCTGATGTCTGTGGAATGCCTTGCTTGGCTGGTGTGGGGCTATGCTGGAAGGGCCATGTCACATCCTGACAGTCTGCTATGAAAGGTGAGAGTGTAAAAACACTCCCCAGAGGGAGAGACATTCAGTTGTTGGTATTTTGTGTGCAACAATAGAAAAGGATGCATGGCGGGAGAGTAATATCTATTTTTCCTCATCTGCTCCATATGAAATTTTCTTAAACTACAGTAATCAGCCTTCTTTAGCAGTTCTATCTAGTTCTATCTAAATTTTGTTTTTGTAGCTATGCAGTGAAAATACTGTCTTTCCCTATGAGTGAGAAGACTTTTAGATCAAATACGGTAGTATGGTATTAGCTTAAAAGCTGCCTTTGAGGTCAGTATTTCATGATAACCTCCCTGACCCAGAGATTCTCCCTGTCCTGGGGACAGCTTTAGATGGAAGTGAGCAGCACAGAGGCTGGAAGAAAAAGCTTCTGCTGCACTATTTACAGGGGCATGTAGCCAGAATAATAATGGGATTAGTCTGGTTGAATGAAAAATTAAATGTAGCTCTCAGATGTTGGATCAGGCATTTAACTAGCACCATCCTTCTAGACAGTAGTCCACAGTTCTTTCTCCTATTCTGTGCTGAAAAGTTTCCTCACTCTTCCACATTGAATTATGCCCTTCTAGATTAACTCGTCTTTGTTTTACCAGTTGCCCTGACTGACAAGATGGATGGATGTTTTCAGAGTGGAAGAAACCTTACATGTTTTCATCCCTCTTCCTATGCATTCTTAAAAACTGCCTTGAAAACCATGACTCTATGTGGCATACTACTGCCATCTCTGGAAATCAGCTCACTCAACATCCAGCATCATGCTAAGTCCCAAGCATGCCACTGGTAAATCAAAAGGACAGCAGTGTTTATGACCTGACTACAACTCACATATTCTCTTTGCAAACATGCTCCATGAGGAGTGTAGGCAGAAATATACTTCCGTTTTCATTTGCTGACTTGTGACAGCCTCAGCACTGAAATGCTGTGCACCTGTATATCCTCCCGGGGGTGAATGTGTGCTCCACACATCGTGCCATTCCACACACCTTTTAGTGCATCTCCACATTAACAGTCTAAATGATCTGGAGAAAGTCTGCTTGCAGCAAGCATGCACGTCTCACCATGTTGATTAAACGCCTGCTTTTAATTCATAGCTCCTTCCACTCTGATAAACATCAGAAACAGCCTAATTATACATTCCTCACTGTTCAACTTGTGTTCGTTAATAGTATCTGTGCATATCTTCACATAACCCCTCAGAGATTTAGAGTTGGATTTTCAAAGGTTTTTAAGCAAATTACTCACAATCATTTGAATGAACTACAACAAGGATTTTCTCCACAAATTCTTATTTTCACCAAAGCAAGTAGCTTGGAAAAACATTACACAAATCATCTGAGTATGAGGCAGAGAAAAAAAAGTGCAATTGGCTGAAGGCTTTCTAGGGGTCTTGGTGTGAACATAGATATTGCTGAAATTCAAGCATGTCCTTTGTAGTCTCTGAAAGGTCTCTAATGTCTGGCTTTCGTTTGGGGAGGAGCTACTCTTCAGCCGTGTTTCAGCAGAGGGAAGTGTTTCTATCAAATTTAACTCACCTCTCTTATCACCTTTATTGGCTGACCTTTTATTTTTTGTATTGTGTAATGATGATTTGTAGCTCTTATATTTTACATGTAGTCATGAGGTCTCCTATTCCTCATTTCCTTCCTTCCATCTGCAGATTACACTCAGGCAAGGTTTAGTCTCTGAGAGGTGTTTCAGAGCTGAAAAACAGAAAAGCAGAATCTCCATAACCAGATTTCAGTTTAGTTACATTTATTCTGCTGGATGTCCACATATCTCTGTGTATTAATCCCAGCACATCTGTAAATAACTCTGAGGGAAAAGGTATTTTATATACTGTTATTGAACAGATCACTCAAGCAGTCACAGAATTTATTTTTTTTTTCCAGTAATGTTAATTCACTTTGCTCACATTTTTAAGGCTCTGACTACAAAACACCGTGAGAACACAATATTGAATTATTTTAATTTCTAAAGTATTTATGTATTTAACTCAGGAAATGCAGTGTTTCTAATGTAAATAAGAGGTAGGCTTGTGAGTGACTGAATATCTTTAGAGAATGTGGAATAATTGATTGGTCAGTCATTCCTGAGGAGCATAAAGGCATTCCCCAGAATAATACAATATTGAAGCATTTCCAGAACTGGGAAAATGCACCCATGCAAAGCCCGGAGCATTTCTCTTTGTCAAATATCAGTGGAGGAAACACATCAGTTGCTAGTGAAAACATTTTGCTTCAGAAGAAACCAATTCAGAGTGTTCATTCAGAACATAAAGCATAAGGAAGATAATAGCATGTATGTTGTCCAATCCACAATCTGTTTGGCTTCCTATGCTTTGAATGCCAGATAATAACCAGACATTTGTGTGGAAGAGGACTAGACGAGCTTTGTTTCTAATACACGCTCCGTGGATACGTGACTGGGAGAGAAACTATGGCTTTTCTCTCGTGTGTCTGTCGTTATGATGAATTTCCTCAGCAAAAAAAATGAGGATCATGTGGTCAGCTGCTGCAATGCTCCTTTGCCAGCCCAGGGAGTTTTTCCTGTGCTGTTACTAGGTAGTTTCATATTTGCTGTTATATTGGAAATACGCTCCATGAAAGGAAATCAGTGTCACCAAAAGATAAAAATTGACATTGTAGTCTACTGGAAGTCCTGCTACTAGGCAGGAACAAAAACTAATGTGTATTATTTGTGATACCTTCACTAACTGGGAACAGCCAAGATCATCTAATATCCTGGAATAGTAAATATAGCATGAATCTCCAGAATTGCCATTTACAGTGTATCCCATGATCTGAGAATATAAGTTCATGATTTTTTCAGGTAGTCATGAAACATTTGGATTATTTTCTAACTTTTCAGAAAGTCTCTTGACTAACAGCAGGGCTTTCTATTTAAAGTGATTTAATTTACATAGGATAACCACTGTTAATGCTTAGAATGGGTATGCGTAACAAATTTAACTCCAGTCTAAATACCATAATTCGATCTCTCTGCAAGTATATTCACGCAATGGAGCTGTCAAAAATAGGACCGAGGAAAGATTTTAATGAATGCTTCACCCACTGGATGGCTTTCTGCTTACTAGGAGAAGTAATCCCTTACAGATGCAATCACGGAAATGATTTCTGTTGTGACAAGATGTAGAGCAGAATCAGGTAGATATAAAGAGGGAAGAAGAAGGACACAGAAATGGGAGGAAAAAAGGAATAGAAGAGGGACAAAGTTGTGGCTATAGAGAGGCTGCTCAGAGCCCTTGGTGAGGACTGTAATGGTCAATACTTACGGGTGTTTAGAAAGGGGAAGATGTTAGATTCAAGTGACGCTAAAGAAAAACTAGAATTTAACAGAATCCTCAATATGGATGGGAGGAGATGAAAAGTATGAAGTTAGAAATTCAGATCTCAAGATTTTCTGTGTAGGGGAACAAAAAGAAATCCGGATACAGAAGAGAATAAGGCAGAGAGATTTTTGTAATAATGAGGGTGTGCATGTGTGTTACAAGCTGGAGTGGATAATGTGCTACAACATTTTGCTTGGTATAAGCTTTGTTTCATGTTTTACACTCAGTGAAATCTAAGATGGAGACAGGAGTTACTGGAGCTACCAGGATGGTCATACCAGCTAACTGCAAAAATTTCAGCCCCTTTCATGCAATGATATTGCAGATTTTGTGATGTATCCCTGCAAGAGAAAACACAAGTTCTTAGGCATTGTCCCTAACTAGTGGGTTCAAATATTACATCTTCCCATCTTCTTATCTATTACTGATCTCTAAGATATTTAATACATTCAATACACGTTTCAAGTGATTTTTATTTTGCAAAACTCTTTTCTTTATGGTAAGATACGCTCTCTGTAAAACTGGAAATGATTTAAAGTTTATCTGTCAATAAAACTCTCACCACGTGTTTCTGATCTCTTATTCAATTCATGTGATGCTTGCACCTGTCAATCTGCACCTGTCAGTTGTTACAATTGTTAAAGGAAAACTTGCTAATGAGTAACACAGAAGTGTGCAGTTGATAGGGGTGCTGTTCTGTAGTTAAATGTAATTTTGTAGAACAATTGATTCCGGTCATCCTTTGATGTTTTACATTCAGTATTCTCAGTTGAATGGCTAAAACCTTAAAATCCAAGTAATAAATAATATTATGGCTACTACTTTATTATTCATACAGTTGTTGTGAGCTACAGTAGCTGTTCAGATAGCATTTCCAACCAAAAGGTTGGATGATATTTAACTTAAAAAGGGGGATTGAAAAAAGAGTCAGAGTTTACAGATTTGTAAAATGATGGTTTATTTTTTTTAAAAAAGTGCACTGCTGTTATTTGTTTCTTTCCTATTCTTCATAAATTAAATAAACATCTCAACTGTTCTGCAAATCCTTTGTGCCACTCTAGCCAAGCAAACGTGACACCTGTCAGAAAGATCTAGCAACAAGGATGCATTTTCACAGTTGACTAGTTTGCTCATGGAATCACATCAGAGCAAAGGCCTCTATGACATTAATTAGATTTTAAATAGTACTTGCCAGAACACCTGGAAGCTGACCTGTAAATTTGTATAGTTTGAGTTGAGGCAACAAGTTTTTAGTGCAGAAATACTTGGATATAAGAGTCATCGTCCAGGGAAGGAGATGGGCTCCTGTCAAACTAAAGCTTTTTGGAAGTCTTTTCAGGCTGGAATTTGTACATGCTTTTGGTCTCAGTGGTATTAAAGGCTCAGACTGAGACCTCCGCAAGAGTGCTGACTCAGCAGATTTGTCTCGGTGTAGAGAGCAGCCATGATCTTTGTACTGCACTGCTTGGAATTTTCCCTCAAGGAAAGCTAGAGAAGCAGGGTAAAGAAAGGAAGTTTGTTTCCCTTTGCTAAAACTGGTTATTTGATCTCTTCCTGAAGAGATTCAAATCCCCATTACCAGGAGATCTATAACATGATAATAATGTTTGTTAAGTATAAAAGCTGTGATAAGGACACACAAGAAAGAGAAAAGTAAGCAACTGGCGAGACTAAAGGAGAGGAGTTAAAGTAAATGGAGGTAAATACAAGGAAAACAAAATATCAGTGGGATCACAAGATAAAAAAAAACCCAATCCAGTAATGAAATACAGACTTAGAGATAGGTGTCTGAAATGTAAGCTGTGAGAGAAGATGTTAGGACTGATTGATTCAGTTGTTATGATAGGAAGAAATTATCTATTCATACAATCCCTTCTGACTTTCCCCTCATTTCTGCCAATGAGGATATTTTCTCTCTGAGGCAGGCTGGCTTTATTCCAAGATTTGTTTGCATGCTATAAAAGTATCAGCAAGAGAACTTTTTTTCCATGCTAATTATGCTCTGTTGAAAGACTTGCACTGCACTGCATATATGGGTGAAAGCCTGGATAATGATTCGTATCACACAGCTGACTAAAAACAGGGATAAAGCCAAGCAGTTTTTGAGATGTTGGTGAGATTTCTGTCATGATTAATTCCATTTTTTTCCAGGCAAAATGTCTGACTTCATAATTTCCTCACGTGATCCTGTGCAAAGCCAGCATTGTCTCCAGGAGGGTCTGCATCTTCATTTTATTGAAAATATTAATGAGTTACATTCCTTTTTGGCTCACAGTTTCTCAGCTGAATCCTCCCTCAAGCATGTATGAAAGTTTAAAAAAAAAAAAAAAAAACCAAGAAATTTCCTAATAACAATAGCCAAAGGAAAATACAGGTAAAAGATTAATGAATAACAGTGGTATATGGCAATATATACTGATAACCTGCTGTCTCCAAAATAAATAATCCTTATCTGCCAGAATTCCTGGAAGTATTCCAGTTTATCTGCTCTTCCTGGCAGAAGCACTTCCTACAGCAGGTCTTAATGCAAGAGTGAAGCAGCTCTGGTACATTTCTCATTATCTTTCCACAGGGGCCCTGGTCTTTAGAAGGATACTATACACATGCAGAAGATCACTCAAAGAAGATGTATAATTCTTAATCAAAAGAAAGAAGGGATCAATTTTGCACAATAAGGAAAAGTCCCTGGGCTGAGATGAAGCTGTCCCATTTTAAAAGGATCAGAGGCAATGTAGCTTGTGCCCAAAATTGAGAGGTAATATGTGTTTCTACAGCAGTTTTGATTAATTATTATAGCTTGATATGTAGACTAGATTGAGTACCCAGCATGGTATAGCAGAATATCTTTTCTGTTTACTCTTAACAAGAGAGAGGTAAATGCCTTTAATATCACGATAAAACATGGCAGGAACAAGGTTTTCTTAAGATCACCATATGTTAATTAGAGTCAGTGGATTCAGATTATTTTCATTTCTTATATCTCAGTATCTTAAAATAAAATTTTACTGTCTGAGGAAGCTACTGCTAGGGATGTTTAAGTCAGAGGAAGACATATGGACAACCAAACAATAAGATTTACAGTGGGGAAAGAAAAAGAACAGCAAAAGGTTTATATTTGGGAAGGGCATCTGGGGAAAGATCTTAAACATGTTCAAATATCATCAGTAATAAAGTATGGAAAACTGGAGATGAATTTTATGCCTTTCTTTTGAAATGAGCAAAATATGGTGTATCAGAATGCCTTTTCAGAAACTTTTCAGAATTTAGTAATAACTGTATAATTCTTTTGTGGCACTACTTTCTCTCAGCATTCAGAAACACACACAGTGAGTTAAATTGCTGTATGCTTGAGCTGGTGGGATCACCATCTTCTGCAATAAAGTACCCAGCTTTCAATTGAAAAATAGAAGTGAGTAAATAGAAATTAAAATTAAGGGCTTAGCATAACAAAAAAAAAAAAAAAAAAAAAAAAAAAAAAAAAAAAAAAAAAAAAAAACACAATAGGAAGCCATTGGATCTGAGATTCAGACTCTAGTTAGCTAGGACTCCTAACTGCAAGCCTCTCTTCTGTAAAATGTGAAAGGACACTGTCTACATATTAGTTCACTTAAATGAAAGTAGAAGTGACTGGGGGGGGAGGAAGTCAACAATTTGATTGCTACTGAGGGTGGACGGAGCTTTCTTTCAGTGTTATTTTTTTCCTTTTTCCTTCTCATGGTAAACCAGAGGCCGACTGAAATATGAAATAGTCAACCATTAAAAGGGCAAGATCTCTAATTAAATAATTTATCTAAAAGTTTAACACTGGTGAGGCTGTTTGTGCCTCTTCCATCTTGCTGAGCCAGTGTGAAGATGAAAATGTCTGAGATCTGGTCTCAATTCCTCTATGGAGAAGGGCTGCAATGAGGGGAATACCCACATGAGGTCATCTAAGGCCAAGGCAGCATGACAGAGTTGGTTACTTCCTCATATTCCCCATTTCTTTCCTTTTGATAACAAGGAGCAGACTCTCCTTGGCAAGAAGTCAATGTTGAGATCTCTGTGCATACTTCTTCAGCATGATGGACAGATAACAGGATGAAGACTGCAAGATCATCAGTTCAACAGCTTGTGATAAGGTATGAGGCATCAGTGCAGTCTCTTACTCAGCATCTTTAAGTCAAACGAAGGCTCATGTTATGGCTGAGAGACATCCCTCCCTCCTGCCAGGTCAGGATTTCTGAGATTCCTGGTACAGACAGAGGTGGTGAACTGACAGAAATGCTTTGGATGCTCTTTGTAAGTATTCAGCACAACAGGAATTTTCTGTTCAAGCAAAAGGAAGAGTGGATCTGCCTTACTGCAAAACTCGGCCAATCAGCATGGAAAAAGCAGAGCCCAAGAGTAAATGCTATGAGAAAGCGTGTAGTGGCTTCATGTACACAAGACATTTCAGCAATGCTATCATCTATTGGAGGTGGGCAGGAAAGAGAAAAAATGTTTTTTTCTAAGATGTTTCCAGTAATGTAGAAATGTACCCTGGAAGGAGCCATCCTGATGGACAGTTTGATGGTTCTTTCGTCACTTTTACTGCAGCTTCAAGTCTTTAAGCAACCGGAAATCTCTGGTGTTCCTATGTTCTTGGCTGCTGACAGGATTGTTCATACAAATAGCAACAGTATGTCAGAGCTTTGAAATGGCTCAGTGGCAGCTGAGGCTGAGAAGCAAAATTGCCATTATTACTCCTACAAGAAAGAATGAGAGTTTTTAATGACAACTTTGTCAACACTTAGCAATGCTGTTTTTAAGCAGCTTAAAACATAGTTTTGAATTTCAATGATGATCAGCCTTTTCTTTCCACAAAGGCTGATAGTAAACCAGCGGTATGCAACTGGCATGATCCAGAGCCAACAGATGCCTGTATTAAGGTGGTACCATCTGGGCTGACGGCCATGGAAAACTCAAAATATTCATTTAAAATTTTGCAGTGCTGTTTATAACCAAACATGGACAAGCAGTGTAAATGGATTTGTAGTGGTGACTCCAATGGACAGCTGCAGAACTACAAAAATGGAGCTGGGAGCAGGATGTAGCTCACAGAGCTAACAGAATAGGAAAGAGAAAAGAGGAAGAAAGAAGACAAATGGTAATTTAAAAAACTCTGGAGAATGCTGGTGGTTTGACCCCACTAGTGCTTCAGGACTAAGAGGATGAAACAGGACAGTACAAAAAAATCCAGACTTGAATATTCTTGCTTTACAACAAGAAATACCATTTGGTCTATAGATAAGAAGCAGGAATGAAAATCTGTCTTAAAATTACTTGTGAGAAGGAAACTAATGGTTTCTTATTTTATACATGATTTATATATATCTTTTGTGCTAAAATTTTCAAATACCAATGCTTAATTCTTTGAATTCGCATTTGATCTATTCTGGTGTAGCAGGAATACTAAGTCACAGGCAGAAAGGCAGGGGCAACCCAGGGGAGCTCAGGTGCATGCAATGTACCTGAGTGAGCAGGAGGGGTGGAGCCACCCCTTCCCAGACCTCATTGAAGGGCTGGCAGTAAAGACAAGGATATTTTGCTGGAGCTCCCTGATTTCCTGAGACCTTGCAAAGGTAAGCAATTTTTTTTCCTTTGCTTTTGCATCCATGGCCTCTGCATTTGGTTGGGCTTGTTCTTATTTTCCGTAGCTTGGGGTTGTGCCACTTGGCTGCTATTGCTGTACTTTTTATCACATTATAGTGTTGAAGTATCACTTCTAGTTTTATTATCTAATGCATTGTTATCGAGTTGGAAAAAGTGTGTTTACAGTACTATGTTTCTTTTTCTATTGTTGTGTGATTATTAACTTAGGTAAGTAAGTTCAAGGTATTCTAGGGCTCACTATCAATCTACTATAGAATAACAGTAACGTACTATCTTTATTTTATAAAATGTTCATTGATACAAGGAGTGAAAACACTGTTCTCTAACACTGGAACAGTCTCCAGTGCTGCAAATTTAAATCCCAGAAATTGGATATGAATCTACTTATGCCTAAATGCATAAAATCATAAATGCTTGTTCCATTTTTTCTCCCTGAACTTAGTGGTAACTCTAACACTGCTGACTTTGTAGAATCTTAGCATTTAAAGGCAGAATTTTGCAATGCTATTCCAGTGGATGGGCTCTGAGTACATCACGTAGGCCTCTTCATTTCTTTGTACGTATAAAAAGAGAGCTGGACATGCCAATATAGTTTAGCTACGGGCAAAAGGTGAGTAGCTATTCTTTTTTATGTAATGGAAAGAAAGCACAAAGGTCTATGATTTAGCCCTGCTATTCCTCGACTAGTTTAACTACAGTTAAAATGAACAAATTCCTCAGTTCACAGGCAGCACTCGCTTCAATAAGAAATCTTTTCTCTTTCTCACTACTTTTGGTAAGCAGTTGAGCTAACTAAAAGTTTTAACAAGGCTTGTTTGATAACAGTGACATTTAATAGTAAGAAATCTGAGTGAAGCTGTGCCAATATAGTTGAAGATGAAAATCAAGATTTTTTCCAAGGAAATGTTCTGTAGATACAAATACTTAATACAATATTTCAGGTGCTGAACCTTCAGGACTTCCAGCAACTTCTGAAGATGCTGCATAGCACTGATTTATTTATTTATTGACTCAAGAGTGCGAGAATGATGACAGTTGACTGGTTGCTGTGCTTACGCTAAGGCAGGATGAGAAGAAAGTATTCTAGATTTGGATTCCTTGTTGATGCATAGTTACTAAGAAACGTGACCTGTTCTTGACATTGTCACTTGCTGCCACCACGTGGTTTCTACGTCTTGCATAATGCCTGAATAAGCAATGAACACAAAGTCTTTCTGTCCAGGGACTGTATAATTACCAGCAACGCCAAGAGAAGTCAAGAAAATTCTGTTGTAGATAGAGACAATAGGGAACTGTGCAGTGTGAAAGTGTCTTAAGAAGGAGAATCATAGAATCATAGAATTGCTCAGGTTGGAAAAGACCTTAAAGATCATCAAGTCCAATTGCAACCTAACCATATTGCCCAAAAAACCCTCCACTATATCATGTCCCTGAGCATCACACCCAAACTGTTTTTAAACACATCCAGGGATGGTGACTCAACCACCTCCCTGGAAGGAGAAGAAGAATCTGGGCTTCTGGCAGCCCCAGCTGCGAAATCAGTAGTTAAAAGAGAAATGCATTACAGAGGATCATCATATTGCCTTAATATGAAACTTAACTTGTTAGAATATACGCCTGTTAGTACACTAAATACCAGGGGCATGGAAATGTGAAGTCTAGCTGTGGGCTCTGGGCAACTCAAGGCTCTTCCCTTCATCTTTTATTGCACTAGGATTTTGCTGGTGAAAAACATAATGTGCAGAAACTTTACAGACCTCCAGGAAGCATGTGGCAAACAAATAGGACAATGAAGGGTTTATTTTTTTAACTTAACGTTGGGCCTTTAGGCAGTGCTAAAATTTCTAAATTCTCTGTATATATATTTCTTAATTAAATATTATTTAATATTAATACAATAAAACATAAATAATAAAATATTTAACAATAATAACACTTATTTCTTAAATGTGGTTTCTTTTTCATATTCAAATAATAATGATATGATAATGATTTATTTGTGGAAGCTACAGTCCTTAATAACAAACAGTCTTCCACTGCATGTAATACTTAGACTTTCAAACTGGTACCTCAACTGTAGCTAACTTACGAAGGTGTGAAAAAAAATTCTTAGGTGCTTTTAAAACACTAAACAGGGAAAACCAACGCATGCACTTTTCTATAAATTGGGTAAGGCAGCCTATACTTAAAAAAAAAAAAAAAAAATCTCAGAATTAATAGGTCTACGTTTGCATAAAAGAGAGGCAAAGATTAATGTGACATTCTGCTGGTACACGCCTTTGTGTATGAAAGGGAGAGAGATTACATCCCATAATGAAACTAGACAAAATTATATATTTCTACTTACTGTAGATAAAAGGCAGAGACATAAAAAAGTGTCTCTCTTATTGAACTAAATTTTTTAGGACAGTGAATTAGTGCATTTCTAAACAGTGTCTTAGCAGTACTTATTTCATTTTTTCTCTTGTAATATTTCCCCGTGTATCAGGCAAATCTGTATATTAGTTTTATCTGTGTGTATATATATATATATGTCATGAGGAAAGAGTCACATCTCTTAGTACTTCTGAAATAATTATGCAGACCTGTTATGAAGACTAACACTTTCTTGTCTTCAATAAAATGGCAAAAAAAAAAAAAAAAAATACCCTACTTGTTTTGAAGTCCCCTTTTCTACTATTTGTCCAGTTCCCTGTTTTTTAAACAGCAGTGGATTGAATGCTGATGTCCAGAGAAAGAGAAGATGATAGTGCATCTTAGTACCTGAACCTGTGTTAGTTTGCTGTGCTGATAAGGATCAGCTCTTGCAGATTCCGTAGCAATGCAGGGATTCTAGGCAGGCTGGTATAAACTAATGTTTATATATATTTAAACTGCTCTGTCATTTCAGAGTAAAAAAAAAAAAAAAAAAAAAAAAATCTATTTCTTTTGGACCTGGTGCACAGAGCTATAGACTGGCACCCCCCTCCTGCAGTGCCAGCTCACCAGCAGGAGTGGAGATGATTCATTCACTGCCTGTTGAGCATGAAGATAGGCTGGACATAGATGGACAGCAACCAAGGTCTGGATGTGGTGCATGTCCTATAGGGTAATTACAAGGCATGACAGCATGACGTACTTTCCCTTCAGCTCACATTTGACCCTTATTGTCATGCTTGTTGATCTTTCCTAGTCCGGTGTGAATTCAGTATCATGCTAATGAAAAGTGAGGAAAACTGCTGAATTAAATTTGCTCCACTGTTTTGCAGCAGTCACTTTTCTTTCAGCACGTCATTCATAATCACTTCTAGCACAGAAAACAGGCCCACAGCTGTGACGCACCACTCAAGTCCAGCAGCCCAAGTGCTTACTGCATTTCTACTCTTGTTTTCTTTCCTGCCCAGAAAAACAAAAGAAATTGGTTTCCTCTTTTTTGATCTGCTTAGAGGAATGGTATTTTCTGCAGT